GGGGGGGGGGGGGGGGGGTGGTGGGGCTGAAATTTTTTATTTCAGGATTTTTGCAAGAGTATATATTTTTTTTGGAGCTTGATTAAAGTAGGGATTTTTGGGGGTATTCAAAACAATCTGAGGATTTGTGATAGTTATATTATTTGATGTTGTCTGGACATTTTTATGGCTTGGAAATTCTGCAATTTTGGCACAGGCATTTTTTTGGTTTTATTTGAAGCCCAAAGGACTTTTTTCGGTTTTGATTTTTGCCCCCATTCGATCATCCCTGTCACTTGAAATCCAGAGTACCCCCTCCTGGGGGCTACCGGAATATTGATTAAAATGGTAAGAACAGAGGCATAGAAAAGAGGTTTGAGACCTAAGAGTGAGAAGAAAATTAAAGTTTGTGAACATTGGCAGCCAGATGGGAACTTCTTAATAGCTGCTAATAAATAGTGGTAATTAGCATAGTCATAAGAGATCCTCATAATTCATTTTAAAAATATAAAAAAATGAAAACATAACAAGCACCTGTTACTTGGCTAAAAAGGTGGGAAAAATGGTGGGGAAGGTGAATCGGCTGCTTGAAAAAACAGGCTGGGGTTTCAGAAATGTCTATATGAGCATGCTGCTGACTTGAATCCATCTTGTTTCCTTTTTGTTTTTGTTTTAAGGTACAAACCAGCACCTGAAGATCAAATAATGAAAGCATTTGAGGTTCTAGACCAAGAAAACAAAGGATACCTTACTACAGAAGAACTGACAAAATATATGAGTGAAGAAGGTCATAATTTTATTTGTTGCTCCCCTCATTATCCTTCCTTTTCTCAAGGCTTGGCTGTGGCAGACTTAGTAGTTAGTATGGTAAATGCCTTGCACTTTCTTTTTTTCTTTTTTTTTTTTTTTACAACTTTCTTTCTTTATACGGGTGCATCTCTCAGAGACACACAGCCAGTAAGTGCTCATTCACTGCATTAATAAAAAGGCTTGGCTTACATTCATATATTGATATCATCACTACTGTTATTAGTGCATGCCTTATTATTATTATAGGAAATTAACACCATGTGAAAGTAACATGGATTTTGGTCTCAATTTTCACATTAATTCTTTTTCTGTTGCTACTTTTAAGCATTTGTATCAGCATATTATTCTGCCTTGATGTATGATTGTTACAAAATACCGGTAATATATATGTTCTGAATCTCTGAGCTCAATAATTAGCTGTCTTTTTTTCAACAGGTGAACCCTTTACTCAAGAAGAAATGGAGGAAATGTTATCTGCAGCGGTTGATCCTGATAAAGGAATAGTGTTTTATAAAGACTTTGTCTCAATGATGGTAGTTGAGGATGTGTAACAAAACTATCAAGAGACCGGGTTTTTATAATGTTTAATGGTGTATCACACCTGGACAATTTGCCTACTTTTTTATCAAATATTCTTTATTTGAAATTATACTGACATTCACCTTGATCACAGGTTTTAGTTTATTATTTGGACTTAACCCTTTAGGTCCCAAGAGTGACCAATATCAATTTTCTCCTAACCACATCAGCAGATCATCAAGAGTAAAGGTTATGAGAATAATTACTAAATTGATTACCAAAGGGGGAATGCTTTGATCTTAAACCAAATTCTCTTAACTGTTCTTAAGAAAAATGTATGGAGATTTGTCTGGAGAATTTGTATGTGGATCTTGGGGCTTAAAGGGTTAATTTTGCTGTACATACATGTAGGAAAAAAGGTGTTGTAAATGATCTTATAGAGATAAGATAATGTAAATAGTTGGTGTGTACTTCACAATATTGTTAAAACTGCAGTACAACTTTAGCAGTAAGTCCTATTTTATGGGATATAGAAAAAAAAGGTTTGGAGACTTTCAGATGAATACTAATAATTTAATACTTATTTAATATAATGAATAGCAATGGGCAGAATTTATTGAATTATTTATTATGAAAGAATAATGTTTTCTGAGATTTCCTCCTAAATTCCCTTTCTTCTACTGAATTTTTCTCAGCTTTTCAAAAAGCCCTGGATGGGCTTGACAAAATTTTTCAAACTTTTTGAAAAAGTTAGCACTTGACTCTGCCAATGTTAACAATATTAATGGGGTTGAAAAGAGTTGTTTTAGACTTCATTAATTGGTTGCTGTTTTAACCTGACCATTGCATCACTTAATTTGCCTGCGTCGCAGACACTCTAAACCTTCTGTATAGACTATACAAATGGTTTAGATGAGTGCGTAGGCCGGCTGCAACGCAGGCTACACTTAATACATGTCTTTTCTGGTGTGATGACTTCGGTACTACCTGAAAAGTGATATTCGTCCTTGTCCGTAAAAGTTGAAAGTGCTAAAAATTCTCAACCTTGTCCCCAGGGTTTTTCCCTCAAAAAATGGGTGTTGAGGGAAAAGCCCTGGGGACGTAACCTGAGATCAGGCTCTTTTTTCGTTTCACTTTTAAAATTACATTCCGGCGGGCAAGGCGAAACGAAAAGAGATTTCAGCGGTAGCCATTAGAGAGAATGTATGAGAACCGTTAAAATTGGGCCTGATCTCAGGTTATGGGGACGAGGTTGAAAAGTTCTCCAAACTCAAACACGTCAGACACGTAATGCGTGCCTATGCTTTCCTCAGTTCAGAGGTAGTGGGTACGTTGGATATTTGCCCGGGGGGTGGGGGGGACTCCGCATATGAAAGGGATGGGGATACTCGTCGTCCCACTTAGGGGTGTAACTTTCAGATTTTGGTCTCACTTAATT